AATTATGAGTGGCTCCAGAATTTCAATTTTAAGTTATGGGGTCTACCTAGGTTGGTATCTAATCATTGTCCTATAATATTGATGGAGGATGATAGGGATTGGGGTCCTAGACCGTTTAGATTTCTGAATGCTTGGTCCAGCCATCCAAATTTTGTAGCTTTAGTGAAGCAAACATGGTCAGAATCTCAAGTGGAAGGGTGGGCTGGTTTATAGATGTCTCATGAAGTTCAAAGCCTTGAAACAAAAATTGAAAGTATGGAACACTGCTATGTTTGGTAAGGTTGATTCTCAGCTTAAGGTAGCTGAGGAGAAAGCCCATGCCATTGAATTAATTGCAGAAGAAAGAGCTTTTCTAGGCAATGAACAAGCTAGAAGTCAGGAATTAATGGGTGAAATCTGGAGGTTAAACAAACTGCTGGAACGGATCTGGTTGCAAAAGTCTAGAATCAAGTGGGCCACACAAGGGGATAGAAATACAAGGGCCTTGTTTGGTTTGTGTTTCTCAAAAAATTTTGAGAAAAATCTCTAGAAATAAGTTTTCAAAAGTAATTAAACCAAACAAATTTTTCCAAAAAAATTTTCCAAAACTTGTTTGGTTTACAAATTTTCCAAACAAATCTCTCTCTTATACACATCAAATCAATCATTTTTTTCAAAACTCTCTCTCAAAATAATTTTTCAAAACATCTTTTGAAAAAAAACCAAACCAAACAAATTTTCGTACTTTTTATCTCAAAACATGTTTCTCAAATACAAACCAAACAAGGCCAAGGTATTTTCATATAATGGCATGTAGCAGAAACAGCAGAAACTCTTTGTGCTCTATTCAGGTGAATTGCTCAATGGTGGAGGAGCCTCTGGCAGTCAGGCATGAGGTGAAGAAGCACTTCAGGAACCATTTTTCTGAATATTGGGCTGTTAGGCTTAAACTGACTGGCCAATTTAAAAGCATAGGAGGTAGTCAAGCAATGGATCTGTTGGAAGCAGAGTTTACTGAGGAGGAAGTGAGGCATGTTATTAAGAGTTGTGCAGGCAACAAAGCACCTGGGCTTGATGGTTTTAATTTGAATTTCTTTAAGAAATGTTGGGGAATAGTCAAACATGAGGTAATGCATTTCTTTGGTGAGTTCCATCAGAATGCCAATCTGGTTAGCAGTTTAAATAGCTCGTTCATTGCGCTAATACCCAAAGTGGAGAGCCCATCAAGCTTGAATGACTATAGGCCCATTAGTCTTGTTGGCTCCCTGTACAAAATTTTGGCTGAAGTCTTGGCAAATAGGATGAAGCAAGTAATGCCAAGGATTATTAGTGAGACTCAATCAGCATTTGTAGGAGGAAGGAACATTCTGGATGGGATCCTTATTGCTAATGAGTTAGTGGATGGGTGGAGAAAATCGAATAAGAAAGGTTTGGTGTTGAAACTAGACTTTGAGAAGGCTTATGATTCCGTTAACTGGGATTTCTTGTCCAATATGTGCTCTAATTTCGGATTTGGGGAAAGATGGGTGAAATGGATGAAAACTTGTGTAACCTCCACAAAAGTGTTAGTTCTAGTGAATGGCTCACCTACCAAGGAGTTTTGTCCACAGCGAGGGCTTCGACAAGGTGATCCATTGTCCCCTTTTCTTTTCAATATAGTTGCCGAGGGTTTGAATATCTTGTTTGATAGAGCCAAGGAAATTGGTCTAATCAAAGGTGTTGTCATTGGTAATCATGGGGTTAAGTAACGCATCTGCAATTCGCTGATGATACAATATTGTTCTGTGAAGCTGAATCGGTGGAAGTGGTGACTATTAAAAGAATACTCCGGTGTTTTGCACTAATATCAGGGCTGAAAATTAACTGTAATAAGAGTGTGATCGCTGGTATTGGCGTGGATGAAGAGTTGATGCAAGCTTTTTGTTAAAAACCACCTACTCTCCACCTACTTCACCCACTTAAACCTACTCCACTAAACCTAACCCACTACACCACTACCACCTCACCTACTCCACTAAACCTAACCCACTACACCACTACCACCTCCACTTCACCTACTCCTTACCTACTACACACTCACCATCTTCTATATATAGGAATCATGAATCATTGTAATATATCAATAAACATCAATCAATAATACATACAATTTATTCTCTCTCTCTTTCTCTATACATTATTTCTTACACTTTTGCTTCTTGATTAAATTGTACATACCAAAATCTGCCTCTAAAGTACCTTGGTCTACCTCTCGGAGCTAATCCTGGCAGGAAGAGTACTTGGAAGCCAGTCTTGGATATAGATTCAAAAAGAAATTGCCTACATGGAAGACAAGGTTGCTTTCGTTTGCGGGGAGGCTGACTTTAATTAAGTCAGTTCTAAGTAATTTACCCCTTTACTATTTGTCATTGTTCAAAATACCAGTGGGAGTGGCAAAAGAAATAGACAGAATCCAAGCAAATTTCTTATGGGGGGGATCCGATCTTAGAAGGAAAGTGCATATGGTTAGTTGGGAAGTCATTACTAGGAGCAAGAATTTGGGTGGATTGGGTATTAGAAGGTCCACAGATATGAATATTTGCCTACTGCTGAAATGGTGGTGGAGGTTTGGGGTAGAACACAAGACTCTGTGGAAGGATGTTATCTGTTCAAAATATGGTATGGGGGGTGGTAACTGGCTGCCGTACATGGCAGGAAATTTTAGAGCTTCAAAAATTTGGTCTGATATAATTTGTGCAGTTAGACCTCAGCCTGAGGTGTACAACTACTATCTTGAAAACACTGTAATCTAGTTGGGGAATGGTAGGAGAGCTCAATTCTGGTCAGATAAATGGCTGGGCGAGGTGTGTCTTAAGACTGAATTTCCCAGATTATTTTCTCTGTCCACTAATAAGTATGAAACAATTTCTGATTTTAATAACAGAGGAGGAGAGACTCAGGAGTGGAGTTTGGAATTTAGGGGGCCTCTGCTGGCGTGGGAGGAGGAGGAGGTAGGCAGGTTATATACCTTCTTAAGGTCTGCACCAGCCATTAGAGCCACCAGATTAGATGTTTGGCTGTGGAAGGCTGATCCATCTAGGGTGTTCTTGGTTGCATCAGTGTATAAAAGCTGTGAAGTACTCTTGGGACCTGTTAGGACAATGGCAATGGAAGTTTGGAACAATTGTGCTCCACCCAAAGTAAAATTCTTTGGGTGGTTGGCTTGGAGAGACAGGGTGAAAACAGCAAGTTTCTTGCAGAGAATAGGGATATTAGAAGTGAATGCAAATGTGGGATGTGTCTTCTGTCAAGTTGAGGAGGAAACAGCTCAACATATCTTGCTATGTTGCCCTTTTGTTTGGCTGTTGCGGTCTCATATTATGAAATGGTGGGGTGTGCAGTGGGTTATACCCAACTCTGTGGAAGGGTTGCTGCAGTGGTGGTCTTTTTGTTGGATGAAAAAGGAGGAGCAGCCGATATGGAAAGTCATACCTCTGGCTGTCTGTTGGTCTACGTGGAAGCATAGAAATGAATGCGTCTTTAATGGTTCTCGGCCAAATCTGGAAGATTTATGTGAGATTGTCAAAGCTAGAATAGCTTTGTGGGTTAAGGCATCCCCAGCCAAAGTGGATTTTTCTATTAATGATGTAGTCTTTAACTTGCAGCAGGTCCAGTTCTGTACTAGGAATGGGAGTTGATTCTGCAGCAGTTATCTGTGCTGGTCTGCTGGTGTAGTTTATTGGCTGCAAGTAATCTGCTGGTGTAGTTTATTGAGTTTAGTTCTCTGGGTGTTCCTGCTGCAGTGTGTCTCTGCCTGGTTAGTTTGGGCGCTGTTTTGTGGTAGTTTTGTATAGGAAGAGGGCTGCAAGTCTTGGTGATTGATTTGGTGGACTGCTATGGTGGTTCCCATAGTGCTAGTTGATGAGGAGTGTTTTTGGTACATTAGTCCATAACTGGTATGATGGTGCTGGTCTGAATTTGCTGATAGGTCTGTGTTTAGGATTCTGATGTCTTGTTTCCTCATCGGTGGATTGCTAATCTGTCATGTTGACTGCCATGGTGATGTTGGGTTGTTATGTTGGGCTGCTTTGTTGGGCTGGTATATGGTCATGGTCTGAATTGTTATAGCAACTGCTAGATTGTGCTCTTGTTGTAGGGAAGGCTATCTGTTCTGTGCCTTCTATGCTCATATGTTGATTGCTGAACTGATAAGGTGATTGCCAAGGTGGCTGCCAGTCTAAAACTGATCTGCTTTGTGCTTGCTGTGCTAAAACTGATCTGGAGGTCTGGATAAAATCTGATGGTTTGCATCAGAGGAGTGGTTAGGTGTATTGTTTGTCTTCACTTGCTGGTTTTGCTTGTTGGTTCTGTTTTTGATTGATTGGCAGTGTTTGTTAGGCGAAGTCCAGGCCAACAGAGGTTTAATGCTTGTTTGTCATGTGTGTTTGTGTATTGGAAAACAATGGTGCGCATCATAATGGAGGAGACATTGAGTATGATCGTGTTTGCAGTTGTGCTCATGTCTGCCTAGATGAAGTTTGATGTTGGGCTCAGGGGTGCAGTACTCAGTTTTAGCTATAGAGCTTAACTCAGATGAAGGTGCTGCAGTTGTGCTGTTGCAGCCCAGCTGCTGCAGTTGTGCTGGCTTGAATACTGAGGTCTTATTTTGCCTTACATGCCTGGGATTGCTATGCTCTTAGGTGCTAGCAATGGTAGGATGGCTGTGTTGGTTAGTTTGGGTTGGTCTGTCTCAGAGGAGTGTCTGAGTTTTGCTGTGTTGGTTGGTTGCTTGGTTTGTCTTTTCATTGGTCTCTCACCAACTCTGTGGGTGCTAGCAAATGATAGGATGAGCTTTTTGGTGCCAACCTAGTTGGGATGATTTAGCTCATTGTGATGCTATTGCACTTCCTTTTTTCTTCATTGATGTAATTTGCCTTGTACTTTGTACTTGTTTATTCCATCAATAAAGTTTCTTTTTTGCTGAGAAAAAAAAAATGTAGATCAGTATGCATAGTTGAATTGTTCTGTCAATTGTTTCACAGGCTGTGTTGGGATATGAAGTCAGGAAGGAGGGTGCTCCCCACAATTGTCTAGATGATACAACTGCTGCAATGAAACTAGTTCTGGCCAAGATAGAGTCTGGATTTGACAATGCTATACCGCTGGTTCGTGAGGGTGTAAGTTTCGAAATTTAAGTCCTGCTTGCTTCCAAATGAATATAAGAATGTCAATTCATTGGATCTTTGACCTTGTAGGTGCCTGAGATCAAAAAGTCAAAGCTACTTCTCCACAGGATACCAGTCAATGTGCCCGATGAAGAATTACATAAAATTATTCCTGGAGACTTTACAATTGAGATCAGGGTCAGAATATCTATAACCGTTGTTTTAATTTATTGTTTGGATGAGCTTGATTAGTGGAACCCGGTAATACATATTCCATGCATGTTACCTTGCCCATATGTTGGGACTATTGTTTACGTTCCTGCAAAGACCTCAGTACTATGCATTAGAAATTGATCCTGGGATTAGGATATCTGTTGACTGGGAAATATTGTTGACCTATTGCGAGATTTTCATTGCAATGAACTGCACAATGATAGCATTGGGTCTGTCCTAAGGTTGTGTTGGCTAGGTGAATCAACCTTTCCTCATAATCGAGAAGCGGAATTAGCCCTTGGGCAACTTGAGAGATTCTGCTTATTTACCTTTCTGCATAAGCTGATTTAAGCAGAAGTTCCATGTATAAATTGGAGCAAACATGCAAGAATAATTTAAGCTAAAAGTTACCTGTTTTAAGCTGTACCAAACAGCTACATTGAACTACTTAAAGATTTTCATTTAATGTTTAGGGGTTTTGACAGTTTGCCCCCAAAAAGATGCTCAAAAGTGTAGTTGCCCCCCTAAAATAGTTATTTGAACAATTTGTTCTTTGAAAATGTTTAAAACTGCAATTGGCCCTCTAAAAGTTCCCTTAGTTAGGGGGACATTACTACAGTTGATTTAAATTTAGTGGCAATTTGCTTCAATTAATCATTTAGGGGGTCAATTGCACCTTGAACATTTTCCAGGGACAATTTGCTCAAATTGATCTTTTGAGAGACCAAATCACACTAGAGCATACAGTTGTTAAAAGCTCTTAATTTAATTTAATTTTTTTGCTGCATCATTATGTGAACTGACAAGAAATTGACAATGTAAGAATAATTCTCAAGGATGAGATCTTTCTTGCCCGAAGGGTGGCCCATATCCTACAAATATTTGAAAAAATAGATGGTGGGCCATCAACTTTTGCGCTGACCATAACTTAACTTAGACGAACAATAATATTTGTTCTATACATCACGAAAGGTTTCATAAGGTAATTGCTTATGCAAAATGTGAATATTGAGCTTGAAGGGAAAGGTCAGTTTTGTTTTTGGATAAACATCCAATTAAGTGCTTTTAATGATGTTATGAACTTATGACAGCATAAGGTAATGTATGCAACACAATGACACACACACACACACTCTCTCTCTGTCTCTCTCTTAATATATTGTAGGCTCTTTTTTTCCCTGTTCATTAAGGCTGATGTGGTGAATGATTTGATGGCAGCCCAACAAAAAGGCTGGAGGAAAGAAGTATTCTGCCTTTGCCAATTTTAAGAATCAAGAAGAGGCCAATCAAGCATTTGAAAATATCGATGGATACTGAGAAAAGGTATTTCCCGGATGAGAATTTCTCTATATCTTGCACAACTTCTACTATTTGGGAAAGGTGGCCCGTGTATGTAGCTATATGTATATCCTTACTTTCCCTTGAAAGCAACAACTGAAGCTAACCCTAATGTAACATAGCTTTGCTAGTTTAGCTTTAAAACTTCATCTCATCTCTGACACAAAGGTATTCTTCTTTGTTTAGGTGTGAAAACCTAATACTCCTGTAACTAGTGCCTTTGGTCTGTAATTCATTAGTGCCATCTCTATACAACATTTTCCTGTGATTGTTATTGATAAACTATCTCATGCATAGGAATTAAATTTTGAATTTTGTTGATGCCTTGTGTTAGGACTCGTACGGACTACCACAGAAATGCATTTCATTCCAATATGATTCCGGATCGATTGATAGCTTTTGTGTTCGTAAAATGACAAGTGAGGATTTTCTTGGCCAAGTTTCATCGAGGAAAAGACCATTCCAAGCTGAGGAGACCACCACAGGCGAGTCCAAGAAGTTGAAGTCATGTCAGGAAGCTGGAGAGCAGACTAAGGCAGGGTCAAACCTTTGTGATGGTCACTTGAAGGAGATTGAAAGACTGAAGCAAGAACTGAGACAGGGATGAGGAAATCTGTGACTTGAACAAGATCATAGTTGCTCTTACAAGGAAACAAGGACTTTTCTCTACAGTGTTGGATGCTTAAAAGAGTGCCTTTTAATTGTTGGCATTTTTGGTGGTTGGCAGGTGAGTTTGGCAGGAGAGTAACCCAGGGATGGTGATTATGACTCTGCTGCTGAATTTTTAATGAGATTCAGAGGGATAAAATGTAGTGGTTGTGCATTGGTGGCATGGCATCATTTTGGGTACGACTTTACTGCTTGTGTTTGGAATTTTTGGTGCTGATGGAACCAAAGGGTCTTTGCTACTAACACTCCGTTTTTTTTTTTTTTTTTTTTTTTTTTTTTTTTGGTTCTCTTCTCTATTTGTAATAAACTCTCTATTTGTTTGAACTATGGGGATTCCGTCTAGTATAGAATAGCAGTATGAACTAATAGTCCTGGTGTTCGGATGTACTGTTTAATTATTTTGATGATTATGGAAACTTCTAGAATTGTCTGGCAGCTTGTTCAAGTCATGGTTAATTGCCCATCGTTCTGCTTGTGTTTTAACAAATGGTTATGCGATAAGCCCAGTGGATAAATATTTGGAGACCTTAATTTGTGTCATTCATCATTTTGTGTTGATCTTATCCTTCCAGCAAGATTGAATGGTAATGACATCAGTGTTTTTTCAGTTCCTATGTTATTATGAGTTGTATAAGAAAATTAATTTTCTTGCAAATTTCACCATTTTCCTACTAAACAAATTTAGATTTTTTTTTTTTTCTTCCACTTTTTACCATTTTCATCTTAACCAAGCCTAACATAGCAGTACTAGCAACAGAAGCCTCTGAGTTTTCACTATAGAACTTTCAGAGCAAATTTTTAATACAGTAAAATAGTTGGGTGCGGGGTCAAACTGTTATGATCTATGCTAACTTGCAAAGGAGAGAGTCAATGTGACCAAAAAATATAAACGAATTCAATAGATTCAATGTAAATACTTTCCCACCTAAAGCAGGAAGAATAAAGACACAAAAGTGAAAAATTGTTTCCAAATTGTTCAACTACAAGAGTTTGGAACACAAATGTACTCACTAGATGAATCTCAATGGTACTTCACTCGCTTTCAAAATCTTTATCATCTCCAAAAGTAAAAACACAAGCATCAGCTGCAATTGCTTTGATGTCGTCACTCATCCTTCCCGACTCCAATCTCCCAGCCCCATCAATTTTCGCTTCATTGGACACATTACTCTGCCTAGACTCCTTGCTGAGTGACAGAGCCGTCATTTGATGATCCACTCTTGGGCCAGATTCAAGATGTGCATGAGGTCCAGCTCCAGAGTCTGCTCGAGCTTGACTACTCTTTGAAGACACGGTTTCCTGTCCATCACTGTCAGAGAATACATCATCGTCATTGTCTTGGTTTTCAGAAACATTACTTTGATTGGGAGTAGTGGTCACTCCGTCACTTGACGAAGGAGAATTTCCCACTCTTCCATCAGATCCCTTGCTCAGCTATTCAGCTTTTTTCTTTATTGGAATAGAACCGTCGTAGTCTATCATCACGATTTCAAGCTGGAATCCCGGGGAGGAATTTTCCTTTGCAAAACACAATCAGTGAACCTCGGATCTGAGTGAATAAAAGCTAAAAAGCAAGTGACAAGAGGGAGAAAAGATCTACTGTTAATACGTCTACTTCTCTCACATTTAAACAACACATACAAAGAAGAAAAAAATTCACAGATATGTTGTGGAAAATATCATAATGGATCATGAACTGAAAGTGTCACAACATGAAGGGTGCACTATTTACCTTGTCAAACGCATCAAGATCCAAATCGTATATCATAGTTCTGTTTTCCATCATTGTTGTATTCAACAAACAGAAAAAATAAAAATTTAAAAGAAAAAATGAATGAATGAAATGTAAAATCTGCATTCCTAGTAGAAATTGAGGCCTTGGAAAGAACCTAATGGTTTGCATATCAATTTCTTCTGACAAAGAGAGCGATATTTATAGTGACACTTGAAATGACAAGGGAAAATATGCATACTCATTCATTGGTGGACAAAGTTGATAAATGAACCTAAAGATTTATCTTTCCTTGGCATTCTAGGCATATCTGGATCGAAATTATATGCTATTTATGGTTAAGAATGCAAGTAACAGAAACAAAAGAAGAAAGAAGGTCTAGAGACCAGTAGAAATCACCTTGGCGATCATGAAAATGGAGCTTGAAATCCCCACTCAACTCTGTCAGACCAAGTTCCCCCGGTAGGGCAAAGACCACAATCCCTTTTTTTGGTGCACGGATCCAAAAATCTTCCGGCTACAAAAATGAAACATATGTACAAGTTGAGACACATGAACAAACAAAATAATACATTACTACAAATATATTAACAAATCAATCCAAAAATTTACTCACTTTGAAAAAAAAAATTGGAATTGAAAGAATATTTACCATTAGATCCTTCGTTTTTGGATGTTTTTTCGTTGAGAATAGAATTCCTGTATAGTAGTGAAAATGTGCATGTATGAGATAGCCACATAGGAAAAGAAGAAGAAGAAGAAGAAGAAGTGAAACAGTAAAAATGGCATATTGTGAATAGCCTTTTCAACAGTGACATCAGAGTTCAAATTTCTTAAGTAGACTTTCAGTTTATTTTTAGTTTCTTTTCAGTAAAAATCCAAAAAGAGAAACAAACAAACACATCAAAACTAGAATGACAACTAAACTCGAATTTTAAGCCAATGAAACTCTTATTTCAAAGATAAATCTCATCTCACCTTCAGGCTTAACGACAATAAATCATGCATTCACGAGACAACTTTGAAAAAGTGACATATAAAAATAAACATGGCAAAGTGTAGGTACATAAAATGGTCTAGGCTTCAAAAAGTTCCCCAATAAATAGTCAAACTCAGCCTTTCAGGACTTAGCCAACAAAAAAAGTGCATTAGTTTCAAAGCTGTCGCTAATTCATTAGCCTAAAATATCTCTCCCTAAATCCCAGTGTGGACTCCAAGTTGAATAAAAAATAATTCCAGTTCTTTATTTATTTATTAAATAAATAAATAACAAATAACTGGACTCTCTTTTGGGTTTTGAATCTTAACTAGCTTCTTCCTCGTCTCCATATTTGATCTACCATGTCACCCCCTATGCTTGAACATAACTATGTACAAATCAAGTGCTTAGGGAGGAAAGACAAATGCAAAAAACAGTAGTAAAAAGCTCTTGAAAACAAATATATAAACAACAATTGCAAAATAAATTATGACAACTTGTTGGATTGTAGCCAAAGCAACACAAAGGCACCCAAAGTGAAATTTGCCAACTGATAATGGACCCATAAAATAAATGTAAGACTAATTATTTCTTTAGATTCAAATGTCAATGGCACTTGGGAAGAAAAGAAAGAGTAGGAAGGGGTGTCATGGATTACCGTTATGACCAGTTATAGTGATGGAAGGTGTAACGCCCCCAAAATATTACAATAAAGATAACTCATATGCGGAATAAATATGAGAAACAACATACTTTCTTATATCATAGTTCACTGTTTAACAAACAATTAAATGCCTTGTAGGCTTTCATCTTTCCAAGACATTGCTTGGTTACACAAATTGAATCTCACTCATTACATCTTAAGCCCTTTGTCACACCCCAAATCCGGACATGACCGGCCGTGGCCCACAGGGACTTAGCCCAAGGCACACGTAAGCCTAAACATGAACCCAAAACCATAAAGAATAAATGTGATGATAGCCCAGAAATAAATAAATCAACACTCAATCCAGTGACATACCATAAGTGAAAAACAAGTCATAACCAACTTCCTAAAAATATATATATACTAAATGGGACACAAACCGCCCACAAAATAAAATAATTCTAAATAAAATCCAACCACAATGTATGCACAAAACTCGACAAAGCAACCTAAAACAAATTAAATAAATGCCCTAGAGGTCCATGCAATTGAGTCCCCGCTACGCCATGAGTCCACTCTAAGTCCTTCTAACACCTAGAAATGGTAAACAACTAAGTCAGCTGATAGCTCAGTGAGTAGCAACATGAATAGTAAATACAGTTTTGAAAACATGGCTCAATTCCAAAATAAGATATATATCACAGAAACTAGATTGGCATACAGTTTGGTAAATATCAATCGTTTCAAAAAGAACGTTCCACAATTCAACACTTAAAATACTCATGTCTCGCAAGAAACTGATAAACAACATTTTTCCATTAAAACAGATATTAAACATGAACACCAATAATTTTCTGGGTACCATAAAAACAAATATCTGCCACGCAATTCTCAAGGCTATAAAGCCCCGTTGATCCAATACCGATCTAAGAGTCATCCTCAGGTGGCACTGGGCCTTTTCTCAAAGACGATCCAATTGAAGGTCACCTAGTTATTTTTAAGGTCTTTTCCTTACAATCGTTGAGCACTAGAGTCATCACGGCCCAACCCGGATCTGTTCCCTATTGGCCAGAGTCACCACACACAGTGGAATAATTTCCCTGGACTAAATACACACATGGTCCAATAATCAATACACATCAGTTTCGCAAAACATGGTAGTTCATCATTATAAACATGAGACCAAACAAATAGTTTACAGTATGTCAAGTTCAACATGTTTTAAAAATAATTTGATTCCATTAATAATATAATAATTTATCAAAACAGTTTAGTCTATAAACAAACAATTTAATTTTCCAATAGTTTAGGGTAGGGGAACATTTATAAAAATATGTAGCATGAAACTACTCACCTGGAAACGAAATAATATAATCCTCGAATAGAGTATGAAAGTCCAACTAGTGCCCTGAACCAATATGAAAACTACACGTCACTACTAATTTAAAAATACTAAGAATACGAACTAAGTAACCCCAACTAAAGCGCACTAACACGGCTCACCCAACTCACCGTTACTCTTAAATATTATATCTAAGTTCATGTTCTTCCAAGGTCTAAATCACCACAAGACATGGGTTCCGGTCAAAACTTAATTAATTGTGACTTTAAGATTAAACAGAATTTCAAACAAGCCTTCCAACCTATTCGCTAACTTTGAAATTACAAAACCCACTCCACGCTATTTTGAAAATTCCAAAAAACCTCCAGATTTCAACTAATATATCCTAAGTTTCAACACCAATTGGTTTCACTTGATTTTC